AAATGACGGGACCCCACCATAGAGGCTGGAAAAGGCCTGGAAAAGCGATTTCTTCCAGACTTTTCCAAGCTCGTGCCGTCATTGTGGACCAGCGAAGTCCGTTGGGGTGGTATGGGCGCCCACGATGTCCGACTCGGGAGGTGTGGGTGGCGGCGTGTGGCCGTTGGGGTGGTATGGGCGCCCACAATGCCACCTACCGGACACTCCATGGACCCGGGTCGTGCAAGGAAGTTTTCCAGACTTTTCCAGCCCCCCCCCCCCTACCCAGTCCGTTTGCCACAAAATAGTGCCGTCAACTACGGAAAATGACACATTTCGGACCGAAACCACATGTGGAAACTTCAACGTGCCATCTTCCAGAAACACTTTTCCAGACTGTGGGGTCCCGGGAAGCGGAAAACGCAACAAAAAAAACACTTTCCAGGAACCCGATTTCTTCCAGTGGGGTCCGGGAAAAGCACTCGCGTCGCCCGTTTTCCAACATTTTGGCCTGTGGGGTCCAGCCCTAAGTCACCTGCAGGAGGGCTATTATATCCCTAATAACCCTCCGAACCGGCGAACCCATAGAATTTCAACAGTTGATGGGAGTACCAACGGAGCTAGGCCCATGGGTGCCGAAATGGTTCTCGGCAGGGTACACTGACGGTTCTTAAGAATCTTAACACATTCAAATGATTAATATCCAAAACAAGAAACCCAATTAGAATTATTTAAAAGAATCCGCATACTATTAGGGGGAACCTCTTTTTCGCCATGGTTTGGAAGTCTACTAGACTTTACTAGTGACTATAGTCTATGCAGGATCTCAACTATTCTACGTAATGTCGAGCAGCGGAAGAATACATGTCCGAAGAGGCCCACTTATGAAGGACCAGCGCAGGTTTGGGCCCCGACGACGCCCCAAGCTGCGCTGGAGCAATGAGAACGATCCCCAGAAACTTCACGACCAGGTGTAGCGGACCTCTGGTTGGCCTGTGAGACCAGCCCCCTTGGCCTGTCCTCATAGGCCTGTGTTTTATTCGGGGCAGTCCAGTCCAGGCCAGTACCTCTGTCGGTACCAGCCAGTCCAGTCCAGTCCCGTCAGTCCGCTGGGGTATACCCCAGCTGTTGTCTGTATTCTCCATCATTCTACAGTTGCACGATTTTGGATTACGTGCGTTGGAGTCTTGCGTGGGAGCTGCACTGTGCCATCTCGCTCCCTCATCCTCCATATCCATCTGTATCCCAGGCGGAGCACCTTCCCGGTGGGTCTGCTACACTATGAAAGAACTCCATGACCATTACTTGGAAAGATCCCCATAATATGTCACGAACGCCTTCAGCCATGGATAACAAACGTACACTTGCCGAAGAACTCGGGGAAGTTCCTCTGAATCCTCTCTCCAGAAAACGTAATAACTTAATAAGCCTACGCACGATGAGTACTGCGGACGTAAGGTGACGGCGATGGCGGCGGCAATGACAAGGAAGAGAAGAAATGTACCATCGAATCTGAAGTCAAGGTTGTTCCCACAACAATAAGACTACGCACGATGAGGACGATAATGGTGACGGCGATGGCAAGGAAGAATAAATGTACCATCAAATCCGAAGACAACGTTCTGCCCACAATTCTTGTACTAAGTGACCTGAAGGAATTTACAAGATACATATTGCGAGTGCATCCGCATTCTGTAAACCGCAAGCCACCAGACGAAGCCATTAGAATCTACATCCAGTCAGTCCAAAAGACTCCACCTTTGTTTTTCAAGCAATTGAAAAACCTACACTAGGAAGAAGAAGAAGACGACAGAGAGAGGCCTCTCCGGACGGCACAACTAACGAAACGAAACGACCACCAGAGTCGCGAGGCCTCGCGAAGCCCTGATCCACCGTTTCGCCTCGTTTTTTGCCTCACCGCCCCACAGCACACACGAAAACTCTCGCGACAACGCCCTGGCGAGAGTAGTGCGGGACTCGTTTCGCTACGGTCCAAATTTGCGGACGCTACGGTCCATAAGAGTGAGGTTCAAAACGGGCTTCCCATTCGGGTTCTAGAACCATTTTAGCTAATGCCTGTTTAGCTCGATCCGATCCGCAAGAAAAAGGAAGTGGTTCCGTCCCGTCCAAGTTTGGCCATCGAACTTCAGTGTTCGAACTAATTCCATTTTTCCTCTCRTCGAAGAGTTGTCCATAGTGACACGTCGAACGGCTAACAATCTGGCGTGTAAACTTTGTGCCAGTCTTGTCTGAAGTGCACGCATCTTACCATAATTCTTTGAAAGCGAGGCCTTGTAACTCCTGGTCTGGAATCTGAAGACAAAACTCTCGACTGAAGTCCAAGGAATTTTGCCCCAGTAATCCGTTTGAACGTTTAAATACATTCTACGACAAGCACGAAGTGGCAGACGCGAACTTTCGACGTCTTAGCTATGTGCGATACGCAGATGACTTTGTGATAGGCATTACCGGCCCTCTTCCTGACGCAATTGAGATACGTGATCTTATATCGACCTTTCTAAGTACGCTCGGACTAGAGCTAAACAAAGAAATTAAGTTCCAATTTTTTGGATGGACCTCGGTTGGAGTTACGCCGCACACTCGTGAGATTTCATAGCTCCTCCAGCCGACCAGCGGAGGACCTACGAGAGTTCGCGAGCGCTGCAGGCAGGGAGGAGTAGGCACACTCGTGAGGCCTCGCGAACTTGGAGTCTGACCGCATTCACGACTTTTTTCTGACAGAGGTCGTGTGCGTGCTGTGTGGCAACGCTCTTTTCGCGCACCGTGCGGCGAGGCCCAAAGAAGATCACGAGGGAGGGAATCAGGGGCTGCCTACAAAGTGGAGACATGAAAAAGGGGAGGACAAAAACACACCTGGCACAAACGCCTGAGAACGGTGTTTTAACTTTGAAATTAGCACTAACGCCACCAGACAAAAGATTGGGCATGCAAAAAAAAAAAAAAAAAAGATTGGGCATGAGTACTATGGGAAGGCCAAAATGCAGATATACCGGTTCAGAGAAGTATCATAGCAAAAGTAGATACTTCTTTGGGAAGGGCAAAATGCAGATATACCGGTCTGCACGTGTCTTCTGACGAATATGTCCGCAAAGTCGCAGAAATGATACCGTTTTTCAAAAGTTTCGAAGCAGATTTACGGGGCGCTTCTTTCTTTCGCTGCGAATACACAAAATAGCTCCTTTTGCAACAGGCGACCCGCCTGCTCTGGGCCTGCAGTGCTTGCCTGACGCCAGGCAGACGAGGTCTCTTTCACGAAAGAATACCCCCCGGGGCCCCGTCACATTTGCTTCCAAAGTTTTGCGAGAAGGGTATTTCTGCAACTTTCCAGTTACATTTGTGGCCATACAGTGGCGGACCGGTATACTTGCTACGACACTTCTCCAATAGGGGTATTTCTGCAATTCTCCCATATGGGAACCCTCGACCGCCGTTTTCCTCACCTGCTGCCCCTACGAGTACCTACTAGAAGGGTATAATGCAAATGAAGATATCGACGGCTAGATTGCCAACGATCCAATGATCACAATGAARRCAMATACAGAGTACTTTGCCAACTTCAGTGGTAGAAGGAAAAGWCCGAAAAACAGMTMTGAAGMGAACTCCAATTAAAAAAAAAAAAAAAAAAAAAAAAAAAAAAAAAAAAAAAAAAAMACAGACAGTGCAGAGTTGTAAAGCACAGCCATTGATGATGGAAAAGCAAAATGCGAGCTCGTCAACGAAAAAGCATACAGCAGACTTGTCATACAGCAGACTTCTCTGAAGTCGGTTGTGACACAGAGAAATATATACTACCTAGATACTCCAAGCAACGCCCAGCTGCGGGCCAAGCGCGCGAAAAAGAAATCAATCAAAATGAAGAAGAAGAGGACCCCGGCCTCAATCTTCATTTTGAATGAAAAACTTGTTTCCAAAAAAAAAAAAAAAAAAAAAAAAGAAGAAGAAGAAGATCCATCCTGAGGAAATTGAGCTTAAAAAATATCTCTAGCTGTTCGCAAACAAAAAAACGAACAAACAAGCAATGAAAGTTGGGACTAACTTATATGAACAAGGGGGGGGGGGGGAACCAAAAAAAAAAAACCTTATGTGAACAAGACCAAATCACCTGAAGGTTGACGTCATCTGTCCGCATGCATGCATGGAGAGGTTTCCGTGTGTCTTCGTGTCACTCTCTACGTCTATGTGACCCAGTGGGTGGGTGCATCATGTATACCACATTGTCCAGTTTTGCCCCATATGGCATGCCACTTTTGTCTGCACGGAGCATTGGGACGGTGGGACCAAAGCCTGTACAGAGGTGAGTGCTACATTGTTGCATGATTGTACACTTTCGCACAAGGTGGCGAGCCATTTTTCTGTCTTGGAGGGGGAGAGAGTGACTATATGGCCCTCCCTGCATATAAGGGGGTGCCCGAAGCATGCCCCTCGGGCTGGTGTTTGGGGACTAAAAGAAATTCTTGCCCTATCTGGCCTTCCCCATGTGTGTGCGTTGCTATCCCTCATGTCGCCACACACGCCATTCCGAATCGGATGTAATTCAGCAAGGAAACCCGGCTCATTGAGATGCATGGACGACCTGAAATGGCCATACTCCCAAGAAACACTATGTTAAGATGATGTATCTGAGGGACGCTGGACCCATAGTCCCAAGAAACACTATGTTAAGATGAATGATGTATCTAAGCCCCGGTTTCCAGCAGGTATAGCTCCTAAGCTCCCCACCAATAGATGAAGCCGTGTGACAGCCTGACAGGCAAAGCCTCAATTCCGGCGGTTCTCTTACCACCACGGGGATAGACGCCTTTTTTTTTTTTTTTTTTTTTTTCCTGGCATAGAGGCCTCGCAGAAGGGCTCTACGAAGTTTACCCTTACAAAAAAAAAGAGAAAAATAATGGCGGATCCACGAACTGCTACGTGGCAACTCTCTCTCTCTCTCTCTCTCTCTCTCTCTCTCTCTCTCTCTCTCTCTCTCTCTCTCTCTCTCCCTTGCTAGCCCTCTTCCCCAGCTCTTGGCTGCACTTGCCAGCCGCAAATGTAGCTGAGCGAGGAAGCCAGAGTAACAAGGATGGATCAATGGCCTGCTAGGTCAGCACCCTTTGATTCCCCCTTTGTGAGAAGCCTGGGGCCCAAAATCTTGGAAAGAATGGCTCCCGTAGGAGCCGCGACAAGAATAGCTAAGGTGGCAAGCACCAGCACCTTTTCACCCATGGCTATTTCCATGGGGTGGCCTTTGGCACGTGCTTCCTGCAGCGGCAGCGGACCAATCGCTGCCTGCACTGTGGCTTTCGATACCCAAGCGCTGGCAATGAACATTCTCTCGCCGAGGGTGACATGCCCAACGGATGTGACGAGAACCGTCACCACCCATCGCAACACTCCGGCGACGAGCAAGATAACGAATTCTTTCCAAAGCAAAGATGGAGTCAGCATGCCAATCTCTAACCTGGCGCCGATCACCCCGAACAGGAGCGGCTGGGCGACATAGATCCAGAGTCTGGCTATCTGTGCTTGCGTTCTGCCGGTCCTCCGACGACCCCAACCCTGGGCGGGAAGGATGCCCATGACAAATGCAGCCATAGCTGCAGCTCCCGTGTAGTGATAGTGCTTGAAAGCGTAGTACGTGACGAATCCCATGCCAACTAACAGCACGGTCCTCTTGGTAGCGATGGATCGACCATCTATCTCGTCGTGGGCGACGGTTTTCTTCAGGCTGGCGACGTCTGTGTCTGGCTCCACGATGGTTCCTCGAGGTACCAAGAAGGTAATCAATAAGCCGGCCAGCAGACCGCCCAGCACGCCCGAGACCAGCTCCGAGAACACGCGGGCGACGCTCATTGAAGCTCCTCTACCCTCGAACGCTGCTTCCGCGAACGCGGAGAATCCCACGAGGGCCAAGACGTCGCACAAGGCGGCCACAGCAAGAACCAGCGACGGAATGCCCGCATCCACACCATAGCCCTTCTCGGCCAGCGGGAGCAAGATGGGCACCACGACTCCTGGCGACGCAGCAGACACAATGAAGCCGGCCATGAAGGCCCACGTCCAGCTGAAGTTCAGCAACCAAGCGAGAAGCGCCGCCACGACAGTCGTTTCCACCGCGAGCGGCACGGTGGGCGACACTACGCACAGCTCTGGAATGTTAACCAACGACCGCACATCGAGGCTTAGTCCCGCGCGCAGCAAGATGATGACCAGGGCCAAATTTCGGATGTGCCCCGCCAATTTGCCGGACAGGGACTCTCCGACCTCCACGCCGGGGACGTATCTCAGAACGAACCCCCCCACAAAGCTCCCCAGGAGGGGGTGGATACCCAGAATCCGGTAGGACATCTCGCCCACCGCGTAGGCCACCAACAGCAGCGAGATGGTAGCAAAGATCTCACTGTTCGGCCCAGCGCTCTCTCCTCCAATCAAGTAGACGGTCCCCCACCACGAAGCTATACACGAGAGGACAAGGAAAACGCAGGTTACTCGTCGAAGCTTCTTGGACTTCGGACTCCCGACCCAGTGCCAACACCTCCGCCAACGACGACTCACGTTGCCCGGCTTCTTCCGAGGACCACCGACTGATGCCCCTTGTTCCTGGTCATCATCTCGGCTGCTGGCCACGAGGCCGATTTGAGACGTCGGCTCCAGGGCCCAACGATTCCAGCTTTCGATGGCCTCCTGTCCCTTGGGAGTGTTGGGACCCGTGCTCGGTGCACTGTTGAGGGGAGACTCCGGATTGTGGTGCGATCTCAGCCAATCCAGAGGGTGCCCGGGGTCCGCAAGTGGGCCCGTGGGCGAGACACCGCTACTTGAATACGACTCCGCCGAACCCCGACCATATTCTAGGTCAGACTCTCCTCCTCCTCCCAGGTCAACTACTCCGCCTCCTCCTCCTCCGCCTCCTCCTCCTCCGCCTCCTCCTCCTCCTCCTCCTCCTTCCCCTCGCCCCCTTCCTCCTATCACATCTAGCCCGACGTTCACATCCGAGCCTCCCCCGGATCCGACAACAACACCCGGCGCCAGTACGGTAGCAAAAGTGCCATCGCTCAGCCTGTCTACGCCGTCCACCCTGGAGTCCTTCCGCCCCTCCGCAGCAACGGTCTGCCTGCGAAGGGTCCTCATAGGCATCCCCGAGGTCGCTGGCATGTCTGACATTTTCGCTTTCACACCCGCCACCCCCGTCTCCGCAGAACAAGAGCATCTGGTTTCCACTGCAATTGGCCCGCCGCCTTCCCTGTTCGCGGTAGGATGATCGGCGGCGCGGTTGGCCATGTGATTGCTATCCGATTGTGAATGTGTCGCTGTTGCCTGGTTCAAGTTGCAGCTCCGCTCCCTTACGTGGGGGCGATGGCCCCCTGCCGGAGCTGCTGCAGGCGAGCCGGCACTGCCAGCCATCGCGGCACAACGCCGGTTCTTTGCTGCTTAGCACAAACAGCCAGGGTCCCTGCCTGTCTGCCTGCTGCTTGGCGTGTGAGGTCAGTCAATCAGGCTAACAGCGCACGGGGACGAGCAACCACGCACTCCTATCCTGACCTGAATGCTGAATGTCCGAATGTGATGTCGAGCAGGGGGCGTTCAGCATCAGCAGGTACTCCAGGGAGATGATTGATTGTTGCAGTTCCTTCACCCGGTCCACCGTCATCACGTGAGACACCATACAGTCTTACTAGTGTTGCCACTCCATCACCACTCCATCACCACTCCTCGCATCGTCGGGAGGTGAGAGTGGAAACTTCGACGAGCGGGGATCTCTTCGGTGCCAGAGCGAGAAAAGAACATAGACTACTTAGTCCCGGAGCTCAAGAAATAGCGAGGAGGAAATGACTTGAATGACTGCCTCACACCGAGTCACACCTACGTCCCTAATCACCAGGAGTCGTGTGACCGGCTCTCGATCTCGTCCTGCTGCTCCTTAGCACCGTGTCGAGCTCCTGCGGGAAATGCGCCACCTCTCTCGCTTGAACAGGACACTGGTATACTACTCGGAATAATCCGAATAAGCGAAAAGTGGATGGTGGATGGTGGATGGTGGATGGTGGATGGTGGATGCCACCACCTGGTCATGGGCGGCATACGCCTATTACGCGGTGCTCAGAGACAGCACTGCAGCGCCAAGAGGAGAGGGAAGGGATCAGTTAGTATATATGCTGGTAGCCTGGTGCTGATAGCGGACTCAGCTGCCACTGCTCTTTTAGCGCCTTGATCTTGCTCTTGCTGACGCCGCTGCTGCCGCTGCTACTCCCTAGCTAGAACTGACGCTGGTGCTGATCCCGGACTCAGCTGCCACTGCTCTTTTCGCGCCTTGCTCTTGCTCTTGCTGACGCCGCTGCTGCCGCTGCTACTCCCTAGAGCTGGCAGTGCATCCTGTCTCTTCTCTTGGATGGGTTCCTATCGGCCCCGCCAGTATCGCCTCGACAGATCTCTTCGGTCGATCGAACAGGATGTACAGAAAGAGGCGATCAGAGATAAGAAATCCCACTGCCACTTTAAATTCGTCCCGCGCATCAGAAACGAGCTTCGACTGCAGTCCCAAGGCAGAATAAACTGGAGTCCGAAGGCAGAAGAAGTGCAAGCCTAGGCTCGATGTACGGGCAGGCCCGATAACCGATAATCAAGCTGTTAGGCACGTCGCGCGTAGCTGTGCTGCCGAATCCCTGCGGCGAGCATCCGGGTGAGATGAAGTGTATAATGTGTATCTTCCTTGCTTCTGCTTGACGATGAGTGATGCGCCCTATGACTCCTTGTATGTATAGATCGATCGCATGATCAGGAATTCTCGGTATGATCCCAGAGTGAGCAGAAGCTGGTCAGTCCGTGAAAGGCAACAGCAGGACGTCTGATGCCATATAGCAGCTCAGTTAGGTAGCATCACCTCCCGCTCTCTGATTCCTTGTTCAATCGTGTCCTTGGATCTGTCTTGAAGTTCCCTCCCCTCTTACACTCGCCCGGATAGCGGACCGCACACTCGCTCCGCGTCAATAACAATCCGGCAGAAGTCGGTTTCCATTAATAAATTTGTTGCGGTTCAGCTGCTTCAGCATGTGCGGCAAAGTAGACCTTGCATGGCGTCCTAAGTCCTTCCCTTCTCCACGTCCCCCAGCGAGCCTCGATCAGCAGCGAGCCCCTCCATGCGGTCTAGCAAGCAGAAAAGCGAGAGGCTCGTCTTGTTTAGCTTCACTACTCTTCCTCCTTCCTTGCCACGTACGGGTCGAGGACATCGCGCCGCGGCAGCCGTCTTGCACTAGTGAGCTACGCCACTCTTCCTCTTCCCCGGCCCCCACCCCCCGCCGTCGTGAGCGAGGCCAGCAGGACGGAAACGGACTGCGGCGGAGACAGAGTGGCGCAGCTTGAGCATGATGGTCTCGCTCACTGTGCGCAGTCGAACGTCCTTGATGCTCGTCGTCTTCATGAGGTTTAATCAATCGATTGATCGATTAGTCACAGGCTGACAGCCATCAGGCAGTCTACGAGACCGCATGTCGCAAATAGAACAACTTAAAGGCAAAGAGAGTCCTGAGGACATGAATAACCCAACCCAACAGCTACGGATGAAGTAGCCAAGGGGTAGAGGGTAATAACTTATCAGAGAAATCAGAAACACGCAGAAGGACAACGACCGAGGAAACTCAATGACCAGCCTGTGGCCCTGTAGGCAAGCTAAGTAAACCTGTCACATAGAGAGCGTGAGAGTAGGGTCATCATACTCACACCAGGACTTTCGTGAGTGAATCTGGCCATGATTTGAGAGCTATTCGTGGGCTAAAGTCCGAGTGTGAGTATGCCCGGAGACTCCGCTGTCAGTCTCGGCACGGCTCAGTGGCTCACTCATCCATCCATGCATAGCAGTGAAGCACACGTCGACATCAAACAGACAGGAAGTTCAATGTGTCTGCTATGCGTAAGACAACCCCTGGATCGATCCTCTCGACGTGCTCTACGGACGGAAGCACCAACCCCACAACTGAAGACAGACAAACACACACAGTCCTCAGCACTCAGTTCTGTTCTTCAGCTCATCCACAATGGCATACAGAACCCTCTTCTGAGCAGAGCCTTATACCGAGGACCTTACTTGACTGACGGTCTCGGCGCACGGCACACGAAACGAAACGAAACGAGCGCATCTACCCACGAAAGGTGGCAAAATGCACTCGTTACTGTTTATAGCAAACCGATGAACCTGGCCATTTTCTGCAGGAAGATGCACTCGTTTCGTTTTTCGTTTCGTGTCCCGTGCGGCGACGCCCTGAGCTGAACGAAGGCGGTAAGAGCGAATTTCAAGAAAGATCGACACCGCCACGATGCTCCATCGATGCCTGCCTCTATCCTCAGGCTGACGTTCCTCTGCTGTGGGACTCGCCCGATGTCCTGCTGGTGGACTTCCCAAATGTGTGAAGAACTGGATAATAGTGGATAGTGCACCGTCGGCTGGAAGGCAGATAGTGCACGACGGTGAACATATACAGTCGGAGCGCTTGTGCCTCTGAAACAAACACGGAAAAAAAAGAAAAGGCGACGGCCTCGACATGAGCAGTGCTATATATATTATAATATATATAATAACTTCTGTAGAGTCACAAAAAGAAGTTATAATTCCACTATGGGGCAGACAGACAGCCCCTCGTTTGTTGTCCTCTTCTCCCGCTCTGCCTTCCGCTTGGGGACAGTCTGTCTTCAACACGGGTCAAACTTCAAAGGGCTCATGACCCAAACCATCCAACAAGGGGGATTCCACAGATTGCCGAGGGTTCAGCCTCCTGATGAGTCAGTCCAACTCCGACGAAACAATCTTGTTATCATCAGGTTTTCAGGTCTTTCAATTTTTAAGACTTTATATATATATATATATATATATATATATATATATAGTCAAACAGAGCTGCCCGGTGATACATATGGTGAGACTCCGACAAACCAGTGTCACAGCCCCTTGTTTGTTGTCCTCTTCTCCCTTCTCCCTCTCTGCCTACGCTTTACCGGCCAGCTCTGTTTTACTATACACAGTGTGACAATATATATATACATATATATACGATATATATATATATCGTCAAATAGAACTGGCCGGTAAACCGTAGGCAGAGAGGGAGAAGAGGACAACAAACGAGGGGCTGTGACAAACTGTTTCGTCGGAGTTTCACCGACTCATCAGGAGGCTGAACCATAGTCAAACAGAGCTGCCCGGTAAACCGTGGAGAGAGGGAGAAGAAGACAGAGGGAGAAGAAGACAACAAACGAGGGGCTGTGACAAACTGTTTGGTTGCAGTTTCTTTTTTTTTTTTTTTTTTTTTTTTTAAAGAACCCGAGTTAACATTTCATTACGTTTGGTTGCAGTTTCACCGACTCATATATACATATATATCTGTATTATGTATATATACTGTTTGTGACCATATATATATATATATATAACAAGGCTCATCACCTTATATTCCAAAAGGGGAATCCATCCACAAACAACCCGGAAATAGAAGCTGGGATCATTGCCCAGTTTAGGTGCAGGAGTTGGGATTTTATCCAGACACAGTAATGGCCAAAACGGGGCCGCGGCCGCTATTCTGACTACCTTTTTTCTTTTTTTTGACAAGATAAAAGGCGCAGGTAACTGTGTTAAAAGATTGAACATGAAGCACATAATAGTAACACATCAGGCGACAGACCCAACACTGTGTTTCTACGGGTCGCCTGTCCGGCGTCTTCAGGAGTTGTGAAGCACGTGGCGACGGTGGTGCAAGATGACCTAGACAACTAGCTGCTCTTTCTTTATACCCTTTTCTGACTGTCACAATGAATTATTATTATTATATTATATTATATTATATTATATTTTTAAAGAAAAGCCCTTTCGCAATTCCACTATCCTGGGGATGGTAAGAGAACCGCCGGGATTGAGGCCTGGGCAACTGTCTTAACCCGAAAAAAGCATACGTACATTGTATACAAATACAAAATTATACAGCATATGGGATACGTTGTATTCGAATACAAAACTATACAGCATATGGGGTCCGTTGTATTCGAATACAACGTGTCAACATACGTAGCTTGTCCGACCAGTTTTTTTTTTCGGGAAGAAGGCTCCAATCTATTCGTGGGGAGCAACACGTGCTGGGAACCGGGCCCAGCGTCCCATATGAAAATATACATACAATTTTGAAAATTGAGATGCCGGGGCCATTACCCGGCTTTGGCTCAGAAAAAATTGGAGCTACTTAGAAAATAACCACGACAAACTTCAGAATATGAACAAAATTCAGAGCTACTCAGAAAACCCCCCATCCATCCACTTTACCTCACTCCGGCAAGACTTACTGCAGCCGAGCCACCATCTCCGCTGCTGCTATACCCTATTCCCATCCTACCAGCTAGCCCCCTCACTAGTAGGACGCGTGATACCCCACCATGTCCTTCCCCACTAACCTCGTTCTTTTTTGGCTCAAAAAGTTGGAGCTACTTAGGAAATGGCTACAACAGGCTTCAAGAATAGGCAGGAT